TGTGATATTCTCTTTTCAATAAAATGTATAATGATAGAAATGGAAGCTTAAGACATAATGTCCAATATTCAGAAGTGAAGTTTTCATGGTGACTCAAAAGTTAAGAGATGATGTCAGAGCTAGAATGTTTCTGTAATACGGTCCTGGAACCCCCAAATGAGCAAACTGAGGTGGGCAGTGGTAGGAAAAACTGTCTTAGAGCACGAGAAAGAAACACTTCACACAAACCATTAATCTCATCCAGTGTTTCTGGTATCCATTAGTGTTGAAGTGGTTGCTACAATTGGCAAAATGGGTGACTTTAGTGACTTTGAACATGTCGTAATAATTGCTGCTGAGGGTGTTGGTTCTAGTATTTCCTGTCCTCCAAGCTGTTGCCTTTGGGTTTTTCTGACAGTCATTTGAAGGTTAACCAAAAGGGTGTGAAAAGCAAAAAAAAAAGTGATTGGTGATCCTGTGTACAACACAACTTTGGCTTCAAGGAGAATTGTTCAAGCAAACAGATGGGCCTCAATCAGGCAGATCTGACTTCGACACTGGTGTGCAAAATGTCATCTCAGGATGCACCACATTTGGGACTTTCTCTTGAAAGGGCTACAACATGAAGAGCATGCCAGGTGCAGATGGTGTTCACGAAGAACAAGAAAGCACATCTCCAGTGGACTGGAAGTGTGGAACAATAGTTGCTTGGTGGGACAAATCCACTTTCCTTTTTAGAGCTTCTAATACCCAGCGAAGAATGACTGAACCCCACAACACGTCTGAACATCACTGCTGATCAGGGTTGTCCTTTCATAGTAACAGTTCATCCACATTCAGATGGATCCAGCATGATACTGTACCTTGTCAAAGGCATGTATCATCAGTAAATTGTTCTAGATAGATGTTCCTGTTTACCTGGGAAAAATCATGGCAGATTTTTTTCCAGATTTTGTTTGTTTTGGCTGTGATATTGTCTGTGTCTTTATTTATTTATTTTCTAATGATTCTTTATGTGGTTGTATAGAACAAAACTGCCCCCTTGGCAACCCTGTTGACCTGTAAACAGCATTTTTCTCTCTTATCAAACTTTTTTTTTCAAAGTTTGTGCATGTTGACGCAAGATTTTCTGAAAAAAGGAGTTGTAGAAGACAAAGCATTGATTCTGCAGCATAGCCCCGATGAACCCTAATCTGAGAGAATGCGAATTTCAGCACTTTTTGCATTGATTCATCCTTTGAAGTCCTTGTAACGGACACAAGAAAAGCAGAGAAATCCCAAGAGAGAGTGCAAGTGAGGAAGGAAGGGAAGGAGAAAGAAAAGCAGAAAGTGAAGGAGGGAGGGACAGAAAGATGGAGCACCCCAATGTCTTAAAGTCTAAATATAGTTTAAACCTGTGTTATTTACATCAGCGAGAATGTCCCAAGGCACCAAATTCACATATTTACACAATGTGGAGTTTAAAACATTGACATCAGCAGTGAATATAAGGTCTGCAGCCGCCTTCCTTTGTCTTTTTTGTTGTTCTGTTGATTTTGTTGGTGCTGTACCTGTATATTGAGCATTGGGAGACCATTGTAATCGTTTTCTTGCGATTGTGCCAGCATTATTCTTCATTTCTTATCGTACTGTAGCACCGGCAGGCCTCATTTAAAATCATTAAGCTCATCTGGCCTCCTACTTAGGGGCTTCCATTTTGGACTGGAAGAAGTGCAAGAAAAAATGTGTACCAAACAAAATACTCTTGCTTTTTTCATTATTTATTTTTGAGTGGCACCAGTGAGTGCATTTTTCCTTCCAGCTAAGCTAAAGGCGTCCTACTTTGGCTGCATGCAGTGTCCTGAGCGGATCCAGGCTCCTCCCCCACACCAGGCTTTCTAACACAGCATCAAGAGGCAGGCCGGAATGCCCTAATTGCTTGTGTTTCACTGCGAATGTGACAAGAGCAATGCCATTACGCAGCAGTTGCGAAAGCTCCTGGGCTACGGCAAGAATAAGAACCTTTCTCTTAAGTGCTGAGCAAGCAAAGCACTCAGCTGAGTGAGACTCTGAGGCGCCGGGGAAAGGAGACCCTGCTTTAGGACATCTGTTAAAACAGTGTGACTAATGATCATACAGTTACCTGACATAATACACACTGTAGGTGGGAGAGAGAGAGAGTGGGTGAGAGAGAGACAATAACCAGTAGTTAAATACACTGATGAACTGCATGTTTTACTAAACAGAGAGCATAATTAGGCCTGTTTAATTGGATGTAGTGCAGTGCAGTATGTGAAACGTTGAATAAAATGGTATTTTTTTAATGGTGGTACTTGTGGATCTTTTATGTCTGTTACAAACATCTACATGACCTCAGAAAAGCTAAATATTAAGCATATTGTACAAGTTCTTCATTTTTCAGGATCGGGAAAAAAGCAGAAAATACATACTTAAAAGTAAATGACACAGACATCTCAACAACTAAATTCAGTATCAAAATATTTTTCCAAATTATTATTGATTATTATTATTATTATTATTATCTCCAAAGTTCAGTCTTAGAAGTTGGCTGCATTTTCTGCTTCATCTCAGTCACGTTTAGTGATGTTGTGGTCTGGACTCGAATGTCTAATATCGAATCTCCTCAGAAAAATGTCCTGTATAATGAATAAGTTGAATTAAATAAGTGTTTGTGCTGAGGTTGAAAGAAAGAGAGAGAAATAACAAGACAAAAGAAGAGAGAAAGTGACAGATTGGTGGTGACCCTGATTCTTACTTGACTAGTTAAGACTTGCACTCCTCTCTGTAAGATGTTAATTGTCTCAAGTCAAAGATCTCAAGAAAATCACTGAAATGCTGCTGTTTTCATGATGAAAGTCAGAATTAACAGCATGATTATGTTGTGTATCGCAGTTGTGGGTTAAGTGTTTGTGTGTGGGTTAGTGGGTGGGAGTGTGTGTGAGTGTGAGATGCACAAATTGAGTTGGAGTCATAAGTTCCCTTCATTGTTTCTTGCTTCAGTGTTTAATCACTTGGTAAGACGTGCCAGGCTTCAGCATACTGTTTCTTGAGTGACTCATTGAGTATACCATCGCATATTCATTAACTGGGAGAACAGGAACATGCGGTATGCAAATAGACTTCATGGTATTTCAGATGTACTCCTTTGTGTTGCTTCTTTTATTCTGTTCTCATGAATATAAGGACTGCATCCTCCTCCACTTGTCGTCTTTGTTGTTTTCTTGATTTTATTGGTGCCGTACCTGAAGACTGAACATGGGAGACCCTTTTGGACACAATTTTAGTTACTCTGAAATTAGGAGGAATGACAAGCCACCTGAACAACCCAGAGAACCCATTATAAAAAAAAAAGCCTTCAAAGAACTGAAAGTGAGAAACCTGTGCTAGAAAATCCATGGGAGTGGGATTTATCTGTGCCAGTGAAAATGATTTGACAGTGCCTAAGGAATGAAAAGCCACCTGAACAACCCAGAGAACACTGTTGCTAACAGCACTGGCTTATGTATCTATGCTACCTCTATTAATTCCTTATAATACAGGCTTATTAGCCCGTTATTAATCTTAAGGCTTTTTATTCATGAGTTACTATGAAACTAAAACACAAGTTATGTAGTTATGAGAGTGAGGAGCTGAAATATGGGCCCTCATACATGCCCCTGGGGTTGGAGGGGGTAATTCTAAAACCTATAACTAAGTGATAAAGTATCTTTGTTTTCAGGCACATTGCTCTGTCTATTCCCATTGCAAATTTCAACCAGTCATCCAGGGGCCCTAGTTTGTGAAGAATGCTACCTCAGTAGAGTTCTTCAAGATTAAATCTAACTTGGCATATGAAGATTTGACTGACTTTAATGACATACAAACTGCTCTCTGTCTGATTCATGAAACTTTCGTTCAACTTGAAAATAAGTTGTACAAATTGAATGAATTTTATGAATGAAATGTCATTGTCAGAATAAAATGAGAAAGAAACAAAACACTTTTTTTCTTAATATTGGTATTATAATTGATATTGATAATATTTTATGTGAGTTAATGGTCAAACAAGCATTTCTTTCTGGTTGTTAAAGTGTTATGGTCAAATTGACACATATTCCTAGCAGATGTGAGTTTGATCATTCAGATGTGCCAAAGATGAAATTGATGAATAACAAAAGTGTTGAAATTTACATGCGCTTATTTTACAGTCAGATTTAACTGTACACAACTTTGATGAGTAAGGGCCAATGTGTCATAACTGTGTTAGAAGGAACAGATCCAGGGCCAGTTATACTAATGAGCGCAGGTACATTGCAAAACGTGCTGTGGTGTGACTGCAATGTGCACCTGAATTTAACGTTCAATTTCCTGCAACTTAACGTGCAAACTGTGCTAATCCCCACTGACTAACGGTGGATTTGTGCCTGAAATTGCTGCGAAAGGCTTAGTACATTGGGCCTTTGGTTAGAGGTGGGAAAGTGACAATATTTTATCATTATCATGATAAACAATGTGCTTCTCTGAGTATGTTGTGGATATTGTCAGCACTTTAAGTACACCAACCTACATTTAACTATGTGTTTCATTAAAAAAGAGGTGCATAATTCATCCTGTTTAATTTGATTTAGTGAAGTGCAGTATGTGCAGTATAGAATAAAAACCCCAGGGTTTTTGGTTTCTAAATGTAAGCCTATCCCACTAATACACATACAGACTGAAAAAAAAAAAGATTAGCTCAAGTGGTTTCTAACATTATATGACATACTGTTATCTGTGGTGGTCTGTCTAGGTGGACTAAAGTACAAATGCAGTGTAAAATGGTGGCTGCTACTACTGTTTTTAGCTAAGCACTGTATTCTTGTCTAAACAAAAACATCCTGTTTGATCAGCTATGTTTGAGTTAGGGGGGAGCCTGTTTACAATAGATTTTTTTGAAGAACTGTTACTTCAAACTCACTTATTGAAACATTTTTACTTGATGCTGTCTGGTTACCATTTTTTCTTGGAGATAATATTCCCTTGTTCTCTGGTCTTCCTGGCAGGCCCTGACCACGGGCAGCATCCCCGGCTTCATCGATGTGGTGATGAACCTCAACTCTCCAGCTCTCCTGGAGGACAACCTAATCTGGCAGGCCAAGAACTCCGGAAAGAGAATCATTTTTTATGGAGACGACACCTGGGTTCGGCTTTTCCCCAAGCACTTCATGGAGTACGACGGCACCACGTCCTTCTTCGTCTCCGACTACACTGAGGTGAGGGGGTCCAGGGTTGAAATAAGACCCACTTCTGAATCTTTGCTCCTGGCAGTGTAGATTATATAAACATTTTTTAGTTCTTCATGTTCAACATAGTTCAACATAGTTCAACATAGAGTTTTTGGTATTTTTTGCCACTTTCTGAATTTTTAAGTAATAGTAAAGACACCAGTACTATTAAATAACTTAATATAAAATTATGCAGTGACCAAATAAGTCTTCATAAGAGTCCCTCCTTGGCTTGATGCCATTTTGCATTCTTTCAAGCTGCTTCATGTGGAGACGCCTGGGATGCTTTTTCAGCAGGCTTTAAGAAGCTCCACATATGCTGAGCACTTGTTAGCTGATGACTCTACTACTCTGTGATGGAAATGATTCCAAAATTATACATGAATTTTTTGTCAAACTTTTTGTTTTAAAAAAAATTTATGCTGTTCGCTGTTCAAAAGATTGGAATCAATGCTCTATAAATAATAAAATCAATTTGTTTGCAGATAAAAGTATAATGTTATTCTAATATGTTAGTCCTGTACAACTTCAAAGGTATGAATAATTAATAGAATGCTAGAAAATGAAAAGCATTTTAATGTATCCAGAATGATAAATGGAATCCTGGAGATCTACCATCCTGAAGAGTTTAGATCCAACTCACCTGGTATTCAGATCCCCCTGAAGCCCTTAATTACCTGGATCAGGTGTGTTAAATTAAAGTTGGAGTCAAACTCTGAAGGACAGTAGATCTCCAGGACCAGGATTAGGCACCCCTGCTCTATACCATTTCAAAATGTCTGGTTTTTAATATCCAGAATGCCTGTTTTTTGAAAGGAAGATCGAATCTCAAGGCAGAAAATCTGACAAAAATTACTGGAAGCTGAGAATTTGCATAAATGATTTATGAATAAATTCTTGTAGATCCCATAATACTCAAAATTGGACGCAACATCTGCCAATACCCTTTGCTGTCCAATTTACAATATGCCAAGTGTCTTCTAGAGGTGTATAAAGCTCCAGAATTGGGCTGTGGAGCAGTGGAACTGCGTTCTCTGGAGTGTTGGAGCACCATCTAACATGTCTGGGATGAGTTGGAATAATCCAGAATGAATCATCCATCAGTATCTGACCTCACCAATGCTCTTGTGGCTGAATGCAAATCAGATCCTCACAGCAATGTTCCAACATGTAGGTCAGAGCCTTCCCAGAACAGTAGAGGCTGTTACTACAGCAAAGGTTGACAAACTCTTCATTAATACCCTTGATTTCATAAGAAACGTTTGATGAGCCGGTGTCCCCAAACCTACAATATATATTGTTTTTCACTACGTTTCAGGTGGATAATAACGTGACGCGTCATTTGGACAGCACTCTGAAAAGAGATGACTGGGACGTGTTGATCCTGCACTATCTGGGGCTGGACCACATCGGTCACATCAGCGGCCCCCACAGTTCCCTCATCGGACCCAAACTCCTCGAGATGGACGATGTCATCAAGAAGATACACGCCTCCCTCATCTCACGGGTACATTCAAGTCTCCTCTGTCTCTCTCCTTCTTTTCTCTCTCTCCACCCAGTCCCTTTTTGTCCTTTTGTGTCTCTGTTTCATAATCAATCTCTATTTTTGCAGTGCAGTCTGTTTTCTGGGCCTGTTTTTAGCTATTCTAACCAGCCCATTGAAGTTAGGTCTTGATCCATTAATCAGAGGCTTAGTCTGATGATTTTGTTTTGGTTTCATGACAGAATCAAATGTGGCTTTGCTTGGGAATGAGTTGTTTTTCTGTGTTTGTTTTTTCAAAGCACCTCTCTCTTAGATCATATTCTAGCTCCTTCATATAAATGTTTCATGCTGTTGACTCAAATTCTACAGTGCATGTCACCATCGAGCCTTTATGTGGTGGTCTTCTTTTGTCAGTGCTCTTCATTGCAGCCTCTGTTGCGTGCTCTTATGTCTAACCACACTTGTTGCTCTGGTCACTGTCAACTGCTTTTTGAACGTGCTTTTCAATCAAGTGGCAGCATTCGCTCTTCAGTTACAAACACCCACTGGAGCTGTATTGTATCATCCTCATCAAACTTTACTCATGTTCATGTTTTATCCAGTGTTCTGGAGTATCCGTGCGCCGCTTTCGGCTCATGTCTCTGTCAGTTCTTTGTGTGAATAATTTCAGTCTTTGATGAGTTTATCTAAAGCGCTCGGCGTGTCGTTTTGCTGCTGTTTTATTTAATAGAATCATAACCGCTACTCTGTTCTTCTGCATTTTTAACTACAGCCAGCCTTGGAGCTTTTACTTGCTTTCAAAGCAGGGTCGGTGAAGGGGCCTCTCTATCTGTTTTTTTTTATTTTTTTCATTCTTTTTTTTTTATTAAAAAACATCCTCCTGTCCTTTCCCCTTCTTCTCCCTGAAACGATGCTCTGAGGATTCTAGCTCTAGTCCTGCTTTGGTGGCTGAAATCTCAGTTGTTCTGCAAACAGCTGCATTGATGACGCAAAAGCAGACACACACGGTGATTGCACTCTTTCGCTCTCTCTCTCTCTCTCTTGCTCTTACTCATTCACTATATCTCTCTGTTTGTCTGTCCTTTCTGTCTGTCTGTTCTCTCTCTCTTGCTCTCACTCTCACTTAATTAGTATTTCCTTCGCTCTCTCCTTCTGATTCTTTCTCTCTCTCTCTCTCTCTCTCTCTCTCTCTCGATCTCACCCATTCTGTATCTCTTTCTCTTTCTTAATCTCTGCCTCTGTCTGTCTGTCTGTCTATCTCTCTCTCTTTCGCTGCAAAAAATGATATGTTGGTAAGTGAACTCATCTTAAATTGATATGTCTGTTTGTTATTTTGAGATTGTTGTAAGAATAAAAAATATGTAACAGGGCTGAACAGTTAAACATTTTTATATTGAAATTGCCTTTTGAAAGGGTGCAGTTTTCAATTTTAATTATATTTTACATTACGTTGGACGTCAAAGTTTTAAGTGGGGAAATATAACCCAAAAACACAGAGCCTGTGAACTGGCAATCTGCTACGCCAGCCTCAAGCCTGCTGCTTTATAGAAAATAATTGCATTCAAATGCATTCAAAAGGGCTCCCGAGTGGTGCAACTGTCTAAGCGTTGGCCCTATCATCAGGAAATTCGATCCCTGGTGATGCTACAGCCATCTGTGACCAGGAGTCCAAGAGAACACAATTAGCCTCGCTCTGTCTGGGTGGGTAGGATGGCCATCCTTGTCCCTCATCACTCAGCACGATGCTAGCCAGAGTAGGCATCTGTTAGCTGATGTAACAGAACTGATGGTTAGTGTTCTCCTCCAAACACGATCAGCTGTCCAAAGATGATGCATTAGCAGCAGTTTGAAAAAGATGCGGTGGTGCTTCACATGACTCGGACGAAGCTTGTGTTTGCCTTTGCCCTCCTAGCAGTGGTGGTATCATGTGACTGGGGGAGTCCTAACCAGTGGATGGAATTGGATCTGACTAAATATTGGTCAGAAAAATCACAATTAGATGATTTCCCCAAATAGATATTACATATTTTATAATTACTTTAAGTAGCTACACTGTATTGCCAAAAGTATTCACTCACCTATCCAAATCATTGAATTCAGGTGTTCCAATCACTTCCATGGCCACAGGTGTATAAAACCAAGCACCTAGGCATGCAGACTGCTTCTACAAACATTTGTGAAAGAATGGGTCGCTCTCAGGAGCTCATTGAATTCCAGCGTGGTACCGTGATAGGATGCCACCTGTGCAAGTCCAGTCATGAAATTTCCTCACTACTAAATATTCCACAGTCAACTGTCAGTGGTATTATAACAAAGTGGAAGCGATTGGGAACGACAGCAACTCAGCCACGAAGTGGTAGGCCACGTAAAATGTCAGAGCGGGGTCAGCGGATGCTGAGGCGCATAGTGCGCAGAGGTCGCCAACTTTCTGCAGAGTCAATCGCTACAGACCTCCAAACTTCATGTGGCCTTCAGATTAGCTCAAGAACAGTGCGTAGAGAGCTTCACGGAATGGATATTCATGGCCGAGCAGCTGTATCCAAGCCTTACATCAACATCACAATGCAAAGCACCGAATGCAGTGGTGTAAAGCGCCGCCACTGGACTCTAGAGCAGTGGAGACGTGTTCTCTGGAGTGACGAATCACGCTTCTCCGTCTGGCAATCTGATGGACGAGTCTGGGTTTGGCATTTGCCAGGAGAACAGTACTTGCCTGACTGCATTGTGCCAAGTGTAAAGTTTGGTGGAGGGGGGATTATGGTGTGGGGTTGTTTTTCAGGAGTTGGGCTCGGCCCCTTAGTTCCAGTGAAAGGAACTCTTATTGCTTCAGCAGACCAAGAGATTTTGGACAATTTCATGCTCACCACTTTGTGGGAACAGTTTGGGGATGGCCCCTTCCTGTTCCAACATGACTGCGCACCAGTGCACAAAGCAAGGTCCATAAAGACATGGATGAGCGAGTTTGGTGTGGAAGTTGAGTGGCCTGCACAGAGGTGTGGAAGTTGACTGCCTGCACAGAGTCCTGACCTCAACCCGACAGAACACCTTCAGGATGAATTAGAGTGGAGACTACGAGCCAGGCCTTCTCATCCAACATCAGTGTCTGACCTCACACATGCGCTTCTGGAAGAACGGTCAAAAATTCCCATAAACACACTCCTAAACCTTGTGGAAAGCCTTCCCAGAAGAGTTGAAGCTGTTGTAGCTGCAAAGGGTGGGCCGGCATCATATTAAACCCTATGGATTAAGAATGGGATGTCACTCAAGTTCATATGCGTGTGAAGGCAGACGAGCGAATACTTTTGGCAATATAGTGTATATTCAATGTAAATGTCTTATTTCACTGGCAAATAATATTGGTAAGTCATTAAAGAGCTTTCTTCAAATGTAGCCTGTAGTTAGGAAATGAAATCCTTGCATTTGCCGATGCATGCTACTTTATTACACATGGGTCTATTTTTGTTGTAGCTCAATTTTGAGAATAGCCTCCCCCTCCACATCACACAAAAACAACAACCTGTGTGTGTGTGGACATGTTTGCTGTACAGATAATAAAGGGCTCATATTATACTTTTATTGTACTTGAAAAACTACGATCTCTGAAGATCATTTGTAACATTTGTGTCTTTTTATATACTGAAAAACATCTTGTATGACTTTTTGTGTCTTCTCTTTGTCTCTCTCCTAGGAGCATTAGAGCATTAGTTGTGTCAGACAGTCATAAAAGCTCAGTCTTGCGCTGCAGGCTTGTTTGATGCAGTGCTGATGAGAGGGATAATTGCCCATACCCTTCAGAGCCTGGAAAGAGAGGGCATGTGCTCAGTTAACTCGTCTGCTTAGCAGGCAAGGGTGAGCCCAGGACAGAACTTATGTTGTGTTGGTACAGGATAAGCATTTCTTCTCCAAATACAGACCTGTGGCTTCCTATCATAAAGGGGAATTACAGTGGTTTTTCAAAATTGCTGCATAATTCAATAATTGAAATGTAAACAGATACACTCAGAGTGGCTTAACACACCTGCCTGTGTCCTTGGTGGTGTTCAGGGATGTTAGGTGAGCATGTAAAGATCTGGGACTCAAGTCATTGTGGAATTGTTTTGGAATTCCCTCTCCAAGATCTTTTTTTAAAGTTATCTGTAAATTGTGCAGTTGAACCTTCTTAAATTGTATTGTAAGGATTTACACAACAAAGCCTGCAGTGTATGTAATATCCCAAAAAAGATGTTTTCTCTATAGTGCCATTACTAAAGTCCTGTCTTTCCACATCAACCATCTTCTTGTCTCCTCTCTAATGTCTTGCATGCTTGAATAGTTTTCTGTGAGGTAACTTTAAAAGTCTTTAAACTCTTCAGACATCTGGTTCCTACCACCACTCTGAATGAGTTTGTTTACATTCTAACGATTGAGTTATTGTGAATAATATGAAAAAAAATCACCAGATAATAAATACAAGACAGGACAACAAAACAATATCAATACAATACATATGTATTGTATGTATGTACATAAACACGTACATATATATGCATGGATTGGCATCAAAGCAGCATGTGATAAGCAGCAACTATGGATTTTTTTTCACTACACACTCAGGATATTTTCCTGAAGATATTTGTGCTGCTTACTAAAAGTAAAATGGAACATAAGGACAACATTTACTTAAGCTGTTTTATGCAGATGACCAGTGATCCTTTGTAAAAGAAACGACAAACTAAACTGAGATCAGCTTTAAGAAAAAAGCAGTTTCCTCCAGCAGCCAAGGACATACAGACATGCATCTTCCCTCCATCTGTGGTCAAATCCAGTGTGTGTGTATCTGTTGGTGTGTGCCGACAGGTGACATCGCTCATTAAAACAGCAAAGGCCCATGGGAACATGTGCACTGTTCAATCCACATCAGCAAATTACCGAGAGCCGATGACGGTCAGCAAGGGCGACGAAGTGTTTTTCACTTCTGAAAGCGTTATTTCACCCTGTCCCTCAGCGCCAATTTGACCTGTGAATGGCTGCAGATGGAGTGGCCC